ATGACGTCCCATGGTGTGGAAGGGCCCTTTGGCCAGTTTGGGCCAGCCGTCCTGGCTGTGCCCCCTCCAGCTTCTTGTGCCCCTCCAGCCTTCTCAGTCGGCGGAGCATGGGGAGCTGAAAAGTCCTTGACTAGTGTAAGCACTGCTCAGCAACAACTAAAACATCGGTGTGTTATCAACATTGTTCTCATCCTAAATCCAAAACACAGCACTGTACCAGCTACTAGGAAGGAAATTAACTCTATCCCAGCCGAAACCAGGACACTAGCTGTCTTTGTTAAATTTGAAACGGCTGAGTTTCTTTACAGCTTATAAAATTCTTACTAATGAATGGCTTTACTGTTCTTATTTGCAATGAAGTGGTTAAATAACTCCCTGTACAGTTTCAACAGTACTTCTGATACTCCTTGGTACAGTCCTAAATATTTCCTCAGTCAATGGTTTGAATTGCGATTCTAAAAAATTGGAAATAGAACATATTTGTTTCTTCAGAAATTAGGCTGAAGACAGAAAGTGCTTTCATTGCTTTCTAAGAAACCCCCTAAATGGGTCTAAAGGAAGATCTTCGAGCCGGAGGAAGGAGAGACGGAAGATACTCCCTCCAAACTATCGTTGTATCTGCAGACCCAGTGAAAAATCATTTCATTTGAGATGTGATGGGGATTAATAAATTTGGTCAGTCAGTGACTAGGTTTTTTTTCTTTTTTCTGTTTTTGTTGTTAAAGAACTAGGAAAACTCCTGTCTATAAGCAGGGCTAAATGGATTAAACAAGAGCTATTTGTATGGGAAGACTAGTACATCATTTCTTCCAGACCATAAACACAACACTACCCGCTTCAATACCATCAAAAGCAAGAAAAACTCCCAGAGACATGGGAACTATATGTGGACTGTAACTAAGGGCTCACTTGCTTCTATTAAAATCTAAATTCTTCACACAAAAGCGGTAGTTACTAGTGCTTGAGAGTGAAAATAGTGATTTTACTATTTCACTATTTGCATCATAGGCTCTATGTTTTTTAAATAAAAGAGCTCAGAAACCATACCTAGGTCTCAGCCTATTCCTACTTACTGTGAGATCTGCCCCTGTTGTACTAGGGGTAAAACAGCCCTTATTTGTCAACTGAAGTTATTTACAATATCTGCCTTTTCCAGAAAGTAAAACAGTTCAATTCATTACTCCCTGAATTCTAGATGGTAACTTGATATGTTTAAATAGTACAGAACTATTAGAGTTCAATATTAGAGATGGAAGTCTTAAGAGATTGATACTATTCACACAGCTTGCTTACTGGGGCTGGGTGTGCGTGGGGGAGATCAGTCGGGGGGGGGGAAGAAAACAGCAGGAAGATTATTCTTCCAGCACTTACCTTCAGCTGAGCCAAGGACTGTAGATCCTGAACAAAATGGCTAAAAATAAACAAGGCAGAATGTCAGGATTTGTTGGTATTTTGTTTAGAAATTATTTTTTACAATTTCATTTTTGCATGAGTAATTACATTTTACCATTGGATCTTGCAGCCACTGAAGTCAACAGCAAAATCTGAGGCATTAAACAAACCCTGGTTTCTAATAAAAATAAATTTAAAATGGATACAGAAAGGTTTATATACAAGTCTGATGAGCCTCTTCAGCTTTCTCCTTTGCATGCCGTCATGGATCGAGCTGAAAGTACTGCACATGCAGCAAAGGAAAAAGATGGCTTTCCTATTCTCAAGCAACCTTCAGAGGCTGACAGTTCTGACCAGCTGAAGGTAGCTACATCTAACTCTCCTCAGCTGGAAATACAGCACTGACAAAAAAATCCCAGGGCCTTTGTGACATCTTCCCATTCTTTCCGCCTTTCAGAGAACATCTGCAAAACTCAATGACAACTTAGGGACTGATACCAATTAAACTGGCCTCAGCAGCTGTAGGATCTAGCTGCATTTTGCATTGGGCCTGGTTTATGCCAGCTGTATCTTAAGTGCTTCAGAATTGAATAGTGGAAAGGCAGAAATCGAGAGCGTTTATCAAGGCAGGAGAAGATATTTGCAAACAAAGAGTGAATGAAGCTGCAAGACACTGGACGGCTTTCATGCAAACCAACCGTGGCAATACAGGGACAGAAAGCGAGGCATCCTTTGACAGAAGAGTAGTGGGCAGTGAGAAGACATGTAGAAAAAGATAAGGTCAATAAGATAATTACACTCTATTGTCCTTCTTTAATATTTTGCTTTTAATATGAGACCCAGACCAAATCTTTGCAGATTATTATTTTAAAAGTTTGTGCTTTGAGTAGCTATGGGAGAACATCTGACTTTTTAAACAAGTATTAGTTTACATCTATGTTCTACTGCATTACAGTTAGAATATACTTATTGTTACTCATATTTCAAAATGTATTTAATATTTTACAGGAAATTAAATTTCTCTCCATTTTGATACACAGTGGTTTGAATCAATTACATTCTTCATTCCCACCCAAAGGCTTCTTATGTAATGTGTTAACAGAACAGGATCAACAAGAGCAACCAACCGCATCTCTGAAAATAAACATAAACATATCCCAATTAAAAAATAAGGGGAACAAAGTCTTCCATCAAAGCACATTTTCCCTTCGTGGACAACTGAATTGGAACAAATCATAAGCTTAATCAGCAGACAATAAAAATGAAAAGGTTTGTTAGAAACTTTAGTCCCATTTCTGAAAAATTCCATTCATTTGAGAGGTACTAAGTCACAAAAACAGCCCTTCTGACTTCAGCTGAGCCACTCAGGATTAATGGTTTCTGGAATACTGACACTCTGTGGCCTAATTACCTGTTCCACTAGCGATTCCATTTCTTTAACAGTTTGGCAGGTTAACTGCTGTGCTGCAGTCTGTTCTTCTTCTGACAGAGGTAAGCGCTAGAAAAAATGCAAACAGAGAACTCTGATGCTTTCAGTTCCTAGGGTGCTGATATTGACAGAAGAACTCAATGTTTGTTTAGCCCTTTTCTCATGGAAACTAATAGTAGACTCCTACTTTCCTTCAAATGAAGGCAAATTTACAAGCTAAGTATTTCAGAAAAATCCAACCATGATATTCCTTTAACATCAATACTATAAATGATTCAATGGAAAGAAGGTAAATTATTCAATAAAAGAAGTACTCCACTTAAAGACTTACGTTTCTCCATAACAGTTTAATCCATCTTTGGTTTAGGAAATATACAAAGTACAAGAAAATCTTTATCTAAAAAGTCTAAATGTAACTCAAGAGACAAGAGTCTTCCGCTTTAACAAAATCCAAATATGAAATTATTCTTGGCAGCATATCCTTGGAACACAGGGAGAGAAAATATTTCTTCCTTTCTGTGACGTATAACTACTGTCTTTTAAATCATTATACAGTACATTTTATCTATAAAGACTTGCCAGTAACTTGTCTAGAGCTGTTGAGAGATTAAACACCATCTCGGAGCACCGTCATTAGAACAGTAAAGTGAGAGATGAGATCTGGGAATATGTTTTAGTCACACCAGTTCTGTCTTTGCCACTAGACTATCAATTAGCTTTTTCGATCTAAATCACCGTATTTGTAAAGGGACAAAATTAATGCTTTCACAACTTCTTCAAAACTGCAATGAAGCAGTGTCTGAAGACCACTTAAAAAATGTGTTGTTGGGTTTTTTAGATAGGCATTATCGTACTGAGAAAAACTTATTTCTTTGCACTATCGGCAATTCCAGCACATAGGTAACAATGCGTTGGTTTTAACTTACTTTGGACGGTGAAAATACATTTGCCATTTAAAAGCTTTTTTGCCTTTTAAGTTTGGTTTCACTTTCTAATTCCTTTAAGGTAGCTACTTTAAAAAAGTCAGTATAGAACTGTGACACAGCTGCACACGGAGGCATCAATTCCTATGAAACTATTCAAATGTATGTCACACTATCCACACTATTATGGTGTTACTTCAACTCCAAAAATGAATACCGCTAGCTTAACTGTTGAGTGATGAATCAGGCTTGTGATTTACAAAAAGAGCTCTAATCTTGCAAACATTTCTTCAGGTAAACGGTCATCTTATCTTCTAAGAGTCTTCTAAGAGTCTGCACATGTAGGAGTTTCCAGTGGAACTACTCACGTCTACGTAAAGGTTACACAAATACGTGTTCATTTGCAGGCGTGTGACCCAAGTGATTAAAATGAACATACTACCTCAAGATCAGCATGTTGCTGTAATGCCTGAACCATCTTCATTGTGTTCTCTAGAGCAGCACGGATGCCCTTCATGGATTCTCTCTGCTCTACGAAAATTTTTTCCAGCTGCATACATAATGTTTTATAACGAGATTTCAGCACTGAGAGTTCTTCCAAGAGAGCAAACGGATTTTCCTATGTAGAAATTAAAAGTACATTTAAACTATTTAAGAAGAGAAAATTAATGTGGCCACATACCAATTAAAAGTGTCGGCATTAGAGCCACTAAAATATAACATGAAGCGACCCTTTGCAATGACAAGCGTAGCTGTGAGCATCTGTTTCATCTATACATTTAATTTTTCATATGCAAAAATGATAGACAGTGTTAATAAAACAGCACAACTCCGTGGTTCCGCAACAAATACAGGAGGATGAATTTCTTGTGTTGGTGAATTTTAATGGCTTTTCTGCATTGGAATAAATTAGGGACTTTAACTAAAAAGATTATTTTTCCACTGTATGTCACAATATACATGGAGACAAGGACCTATTTATAAAACCCTTTACATGCTGCCATTTTTTGTTTTCCTCTTCCTCTTTCCTCCCCAAATCTGAATTTAGTCATTGCTTATTAGCAAGTTTATCTTTGATCTCGGAGCAAGGGTGTGTTTTAGCTCAGATTGGCATCTCTCTCTTAAATTTAGGTGTTAACACGACTACTCATTTCTCAAAGCAAAACATGGGAGAATTTCACTATTCCAAGAAATCAAGGAAGTTCTGTTGGTTTCTGCACTGAATTCATATTAGGCCAGTTATCTTGATGTATGATGCAAGAAATATTTTAATAATGATCAACCAACTAACAACTAGATAAAATAACAGCCACGTATATTTTAGGATTAAAGAAAATAACCCATTTATTACCAACTTTATGCAAAATGCAATAAAATCTATTAATTTCATCTGAAAATACTACCTCTGCTGCTGGATTATCAGGAAGACTTTTCATTATTTCAAACTCCAGTCTGTGTTGAATATAATCCAGATCAGATTCTGCCTTCTGGAACTAAAATATTTAAGATCAGCCACAATGCATTAAAAAACAAAAATTACAGACAAAACCCAACCGTTCGCCTTTCCTGTATTTCAGGAAAGCAGAAGCCAGACGCCTCCATTTTAAAGGTTCACGTACTATAAAATTAAGTTTCTATGCCTCCGATCTATTCCATTAGCTAATGTTTGCCAATTATGCTGACACACTTCTAGCCTGAAAAATTTAAAGCAATAAACTTGCAGACATAACATAACCATTTTCCTCTCACGTGTAAGAATTAAGTGTGTGTACATACACACACTCTTGTATTAATTTTATCCTCTTTCCATTTGTCTAACCCAAATTACCCGATTGTTCTCTTTGCATCTTGCCACTAGTACCTTTTTCATGCAGGACCCCCAAAATGCATGAAAACATTTCCATCTCCTCCTACATTATCTTCCATCTCCCTTGCAATGCCAAACCTCTCAAGATGAAGTTTTTAAGTAGTACACCAAAGAGGTAAGTTATATCAATAGAAAAGAACATGGATCTTTTTTAAACTGATAAGTCACCTGATGCAGGAGATGTTTGATTTTTTTTCTCCTGAGACATTAACATATTTTCCATCAATTTTTAAAGCTTTTTCTTGGCTAGTTGCTCTTCTTTTCAAACATTAGAAGTTCTGTTAGCAAAACTGCAATACTCAGTTATTTACACAGCAGAGATTATGAATAAGTGTTCAGGATCCAAGCACATCAACAGAGATTTTATTATTAATTACATTAGGAATGCATTCTCTCAGATGGTTATAATACCTGTAATACATGTTATTATTTCCCAATAAACCAGACTGACAAATAAATAGATAATAAAATTGATGACATCACATTTCTTTCCTTGGGATAAATAAGCCACCAGAGAATTACCTAATTGCCTTTTAAGACAGTCTGCTGATAGCATTATTACTTAATTTAGTCTGCAATTTTAATATCCGTTAAGGACTGCTGCTTTAAAGAAAGGCAGTTTTCCCAGTTCACAAAAAAGATATGAATTTCTTAATGTAACAATTTGGGGATTTTACAGTCACAAAAGAGACTATGATGAAAGCAAGTTAAAAATGCTTGTAACTTAACTCTGTGTTTTTCACTATTTATATTGAGATTAACCCTAAAGTAATCGTTACAACTTTTTAAAGATCAAAATAAGGCTGTATTTGTTAACTGTATCCCAAAGTTACAGCACTGGCAGTGCTGTAACGGTAGCTAAAGTGACAAACTTCAGTAGTCTTTGGATGTAGCCTGTAGTCAGGCCTGGATACCCAAAGGACGTTTATATCTTAAACATCAGCCTTGGGATCCACCCTCAGGAACTGCCATTAATGCCTTTGAGGCTCTGGAACTCCAGATAGCCTAAAGGAATAGCGTTCGATCCAAACTACTCTACAAGTAAAATCCCCTTCCTGATGTAGTGAAGATGTATGATCTTTCATATATATACACACACACCTTCAGCAAATTTTCAAATAGTAGCTTAAGAAAAGGAAAATAAATCTAGTAAAGACCTCGAGCATCTCTAAACCAAAGGGAACGCTTACACCCGTTACTCCCATCACTTACCATCCGCCCAACAAAACCCCTCCCCACATCTACCCCAGAAACCAGTCATGATAAAATGAGAAAATAAAATACGTTTTATTACACTATGTATTTTTAAAGAGTTCATGAGGGATTTTTCCTAACTGCTCAATCATTTCTCTTCTCCTCCACAAGCAAACATGTTTAGGTTTTCATTTCTAGAGGCAGGTATCCCAAAAAGATCATTTTTTTGCTTTTCTCCAACTCCTCAATTTGATCATTAATTTTTGAGAAAGCAGACAATGAATATGGGTGGCTTTCAAAAATATCCATGAAGCTCTGCTCCTGAAATACTCAATACTGATAATTTGAGATTTACAGAATGACAGTAAGCCACTAATACCATGCTACTACTATGATTCAAGACATTAAAAATTGAATGTGAAACTGAATGCTTATCCATCACGTGGCTACAATTTTAAGATTTGTGCTTAATGAGAATATTAACAGGGTTCAATATCACTGCTTTCTCCTGCAAGTATGCTAACTCTGAAAGAAACAAAATTTATTACCAGCAATTTCAAAGCCAGTTTATAAGCACTGCCATATATTCCTCCATTATGATCCCTTTTTCCTTTGTTTTATAAATATTTATTTCTTGCTGTGTTCCAAGAAACACACACCTGCAAAAATCTCACCTTAATGTTATAGGTTAGGACCATTCCTACGATGAGTATTGTACAACAATCACACCGAAAATGCAGTTTGTGAAATGTAAACTTGTAATTTACTCACAGGCTTAGAAGGAAGTGTTAGAAACCGTGAGGCCAGACTCAAGCCATTGCTGCGCACTCTGCTTTCAGATGCTTTGACAATACTATTGCACTGCTAGCTGTAAAGTACAGTAGTGCAATAAAGTCAGAGCATTCGTTAGCAGCAAGAATTCTGTACAAGTAATCAATACACTCAAAATATGTATCGGGGGAAAATAGGTCGAGTCAGACAGTGGTTTCTGTGGATCACGGAGAATTGGATAAGGTTAATGGTCACCAAGTTCTTAATACAGACACACAAGAACTCACATATATCAAGACATTATTCATAATCCCTGTCATTCCACTGACGGGGGGCGGGGGGAACGGCAGAAAAAGGAGAAAAACACCCAACAAAATGCTCAACAGATCTGTCAGAAATTCAGTTTCAAACACTTTGGTGCTCTTAACTAGAAACTACATTTCCAAATTTATTTCTTAATTTGCCTCATAGCAAGCAAAGATTCTAAACTGCTGTCAGACAGATGTTCTTAAACTGCATTACGGGGAACATTTTCTGGACACCGGAGTTTATTATTCTTATTTGCAGGTGTTGAATCACTTTAAAATGCACTTAAACACAGACTCATTTCCCAACATTGTGAATGTACGTTACCACTGGGGTTACCACATGGATGTTAGAGCACCATCAAAGTGGGGGTGTACTTCATAAATCTCAATAAAGGTGTTTCTTTTTAACAAAAACAGTTAACTTCATATAAAAAGTTTGAGAACTCTTAGGGTCTGAAGGCGCTAGGATTCTTAACAACAAAATGCAAAGAAACAGAGTGACGGAGCGGAGAGTGATGGATGATTGCTAATGCACACAGAGCAACAGCCCGAGTCAACGCCACACCTGCCACATTTCTCTAGAACACACTGTAGGAATAAGAATGCTATGCAGTGTTCTTTCCTCTTTGTAGGGCACTTATTTCTAAGGAAACACACACAGAGCGTTGATGGTATTTAAAGACCAGTTAACATTTCTCCTTGGCAAATAACTAGAAGACGAGTGCAAAAAAATAAATTAGTGGCAATCCTGTTTTACAGTTGTTTTTCAAATCACTTCTGGTCTCAGACATACAATAGTGACTTTTGACTTGTGACTATAATAATAATAATAATGAGTAACGTAGATAGTATTGCTGGCCAATGCCCTTTTAACATTGCACTGCTTTTTGTGCATGATCACTAGTAGTACAACATAAAAAGGGCACTGGACAGACACCACTCAAAGAAAAAAGTAGGTCCACTACACCAGCAGCGCGGTGACAGAAATTAGCTAAATTGCTCTGAATGAAGCTCATCTGACAGGTTATCCATTTGTTACCAAGTTTTACTAAATGGACGTCCCCAAAATGTCTTTCAGCGCAGACTGCTGAAGTGCACACTGGAAGGCGCTAGCTCAGTTTGCGAAGTCCTGAGCGTTAAAGGTTCATGAAATGGTTGTTGTACAGAAGGATACATTTATCACCAGCAACTACCATGTACTGTATTTCATTAGAGGCCTGACTCTGCGTCTGTTGAAGCTGTTGGAAAGATCTCCAGTCCCTGCTGACTTCAAAGAATGCTTGTGCAGCACAGCCTCAGGTGCCTAAGTGCTAAACTACAGCACCCAGTATTCTTATTTGAATTGTTAATAAGTCAGCTTTACAATCTTTTGCATAATGACTCTCATCTTATATTGTAGATGTTATGGTTCATTTAACTCTTCTTGTTACTGTACTTTGAGCAATAGTCTCAAATAACCATTGATTACCTGGTATTTTCATACACATTGTTCTTTTTAAGCGCCTACAAATTAGTTTATCCCTGGTTCCAGGAGGCTAAAATGAAGCTTTCCATGAAATGCATGTCTAAACCTCTAGGGAAATAAGAAGTGTTATTTTATCACACTTCTGTGGAGAGAGCTGACTTCACAGGAAATCCAGGAAGAAGAAACAATGAGCAGAAGGAAAAGCAAGACACACAAAGCTGCAGTATGTGAGACGTGGTTGCCAATGTACATATTCTGATTAACATAAACAATGACAAAGAAAAATATTGCACTTTTGAATGAGGTTTGGATATAGGAAATTAATAAGTGAAATTGTTCGAGGAGTATTTAAGAAATCACCCTTTTCTTAAAAAAAGAAGAAAAAAGGAAAACAAAGGAATCCGGTGGAGATGCAACCGCCTTGTGCCACCCAGCAGTTTTAATGGAAGGAGGCAGCCAGGCATACCATCTTCCATCTTCTGCTAGAAGAAATTAACAGAAGAATCAACCAGAAAAATGTAAGACTAAGGGTGAAATCAAAATCAATTAGGTTTTCAAATGGATTACCCAAATGATTTGGGGTAATTAGAACGGGGTGAAAGGCCAAGCTATAATCTCAAAACCTTTGGAAGTTGTTACGCACCATCTGTGCAGATAATTGACCCGAACGAGCTCTCCCCCTTGAAATTACTTGTGCAATGATCATTTTGGTCTACTCGTAAAGCAGATCATAAGACAGTGACCCATTACTGCCTTCTTCCACTACCATACATAAATTAGGGATAGAAATTATATTATCTATTAAGCGTTTGGATGCATAAAATATTTCCAAAGCATTTTCACTTGTCCTGGTTTTGGCTGGGATAGAGTTAATTTCCTTCCTAGTAGCTGGTACAGTGCTGTGTTTTGGATTTAGGATGAGAACAATGTTGATAACACACCGATGTTTTAGTTGTTGCTGAG